CACCTTCAATTTAGCTTAGATGATTAGTTCTTGAGGTGTAAGCACGCAGAAATGCTTGTCCATCTTTTTCTTTAATTTTTTATGAGTAAATAAACTATTTTATCTTAAAATGAGCGTGGTTCTTGACAATATACCGACGCGAATCTCCTCCTCCTCCTCCTCTCTCTCTCTCTCTCTCTCTCTCTCTATATATATATATATATATACTGTTGCTTCATTACGTCTTCTTACCACGTTTCATCACAAATACTGTTTAAATTGATGTTCTTTATTACTGAATTGCTTGGTTTAAAAATATTCAATTTTAAATAAATTTTAATTTAGTTTTAGTCTTGTATTTTTGACCTTTTATTGATTATATTAAAACTGCTTATTCAATTTAGAATTTTGATTCCTGTATATACAAGATGTGGCTATTAAATAACGAGACAGATGCCGTAAAACCTTATATTTTGATCTCAAACATATTTACTTATTAACACCTTCTGTATTCACCCCTCCTCTATCCCTCCAACATTCCACACGTATCTTTTATTTTCCGATACAGTGTTGGGAATTTTCTATAAGCTCCTTCAGAACACGTACTGCTTTCTCTTTCTAGTTTCAAGGACTCAAATCTTATTCCTTTCGAAGTCACCTAGTGCAATATCGGGGGAATGAGTTGGATGCTCTAACACTGGAATGTAGTGCTTGACAAGAAACCTTTTAACAGAGAATGTGGAATCAGCCGGTGCATTGACTTGATGAAATAATTTGCCATACGGATTTTTTGTCTATTCCTACTGTCTCACCAATCCCGCGAATATTTAACTGACGCTCAGATCGAACAAAATTGCAGAAAGTGTTTGATATTATCCTCCGTTTTTGACGTGGAATGCGACATGGTTTACTTATTTTCTGCAACGTATTGGAACTTTTTGGAATAGCAGCATCTACAGCATCAATAATCGAGTCAGCGACATTTCGGGCATTATCACCTATATTTCTATTCAGAACCATTGCGCCAGTGATTCATCTTCAGCATAATCTCGACCGTCTTGTATACGCTTAAGCCAATCAAAAATGCATACACGCAACATTCATTGCCATACATTTCTTTTAATAAATTGTAACTTTCAGTAGCGGGTTTTTCATGTGAAATCTTACACTTCGTTGGTCATTTATTATTTTTGCAACGAAACAAGTTAGTTAGTTAAGTTTAAAAAACGTCGCACTAGAAGCAACACGAGGGCTATTGGCGACGTACCTCGTAATTTTTAACCTCGGTCATGACACCTGAGCAGGAACTCCCTTTCCTAACGTCCACACCAAGCCAATGGGAGGACTTTAGGCACCGACAGATTTAACGTGTATCAACCCCTGTTATACGGCGGGTCTTTAGCTGCCAAAGATCGAACCTGCGACTGAACGAAAACTGCCGTTCACGAAA